CGGGAGCTGCCGCACGCGGCAGGAAGCTCAGCAGGGCCCGCCCCGGCCCGGCCCGGGATGGGGGACCGCGGGCACCCCTGGGCCCGTGGGCGCCCCGTGAGCATCCTATGGGCACCCTATGGACACCCCCATCTTTGTGGGCGCCCCATAGGGGCCGCGGGGCGCCCTGTAGTCCTATAGGGACCCCATGGACACCCCACAGTCCTGTAGGCACCCTGGCGGGGCCTCATAGGGACCCCATAGGGATCCCATGGCATCCTGTAGTTCTATAGGCGCTCCATAGGGACCCCATGGACAGCCCGCAGCCCTGCGGGCACCCCGTGGGGGCCCCTTTGGGACTGCATGGCATCCTATAGTCCTGTAGGCACTCCATAGGGACCCCATGGACACCCCACAGTCCTGTAGGCACCCTGGCGGGGCCTCATAGGCACCCCATGGCATCCTCTAGTTCTATAGGCGCTCCATAGGGAGCCCATGGACAGCCCGCAGCCCTGCGGGCACCCCGTGGGGGCCCTATAGCCCCATGGACATCCCACAGCTCTATAGGGATCTGTGGACACCCCGTATCTTTGTGGGCATCCCAGTAGCCCTATGGGGTCCCCATAGGGACTGCATGGCACCCTATAGCTCTCCATAGGGACCCCGTGGACACCCTACAGGCCCATGGGGACCCCATAAGGACTGCATGGCATCCTATAGACCTACAGACACTCCACAGAGACCCCATGGACACCCCGCAGCCCTACAGGCACCCCATGGGGACCTTATAGACCCACAGGCACCCCATAGCCCTATAGGGACCCCACGGACACCCCACAGCCCTATAGGCATCCCATAGCCCCGGGGGTACCCTGTGAGCACCCCCAGCCCTATAGGCACTGGACGGACACCCTATAGCTCTACGGGCACCCCCGGACACCCCCAGAGAGAGAAACCACAGACAACACAGCTTCTTTTTTTTTTTTTTTTTTTTTTTTAATAATCAAAAGTTTCAATACCTGAATGTTTGCAAAACTGAAATATTTCACCGGGGCCCGGGTGCGCCCGAGGCCGCCGCTCTCAGAGGTAGAATGTGGTTTTTATTCTTTTTCTTTTTTTTGTCTTTTGTGGGTTTTTTTTCTTTTTCATTTTTTACCTGAGTTAAGATATGCACGCTGGGTAAATGCGTCTGCAGCTGTGTCCGTTCCTTTTTTCTTTCCAAACCCCAGAGAAACTGA